TTGCAGTGAGCTGAGATCACGCCATTTCACTCCAGCCTAGGCGACACAGCAAGACTCCATTTCAAAAAAAAAAAAACAAAACAAGTGGGCTGAACTAGTTGCTCTCTGAGGTCCCTTGACAATCTAGCAGCCTAAATTATCCTCCCAGGAAGGACACAATGTAAGACAGCAATAACCTTCATGTCTCAGGAACTAAACTCTATTTACTTCTGAACACCAGCAAAATTATGTTTGTAGTTGCAAAAGTTTTCAAGGGCATGTTGAAGACCTGGAGCCTTTGGACAGGGAGGCTGTGAGAAGGAAAAGAGAAATAATTAACAGACCAAATGTGGTTCCACATTCCTTTAAGCAAACTCAATATAAGAAAATGGAGACTTATAGAAAAGCAAAATTAGGGGCTAAATGTTTTTTTTGATGGAATCTTTTCTTTAGGAAAACTTTCACTTATAGGATCCTTTTAGATAGTATGTTTCTCTAGAGCTTTGAAAATGATTCAATCTTCAAAAATCTGAGTCACCTTTTTTTCCAGAAACACCCTTGTGTTTATTATACATCTATCTGCAGTATCTGAATATAGATCTTTTAAAAAGCAAAAAGAATTGACTGGACGTGGTGGCTCATGCCTGTAATCCCAGCACTTTGGGAGGCCGAGGCAGGCAGGTCACCTGAGGTCAGGAGTTCGAAATCAGCCTGACCAACAGGGTGAAACCCCATCTCTACTGAAAATACAAAAATCAGCCAAACGTGTATTTTTAGTAGAGATGAGGTTTCATCATGTTGGGCAGGCTGGTCTCGAACTCCTGACCTCAGGTGATCTGCCCGTCTCGGCCTCCCAAAGTGCTGGGATTGCAGGCGTGAGCCACCACGCGAAGTCTTTTTCTTAACGTTAAGCACTAGGAATACACAGTAAATACACACTATAAAGTACTGTTTTTAAAACAGGATTTATTTGTTACATTATAAACTCGGCAGCACACGAAACCAAGTAGTGAATACATCTTTGTCCCCCCTTTTAAATGAGAGGCAACTTTTCGTCTCCCAGTGCTCTTGGGACCACAGAAAAGGGGACCAAGTAGATGGAAGGACTCAGCACTCTTGGGTAGGGGGTGCTTCGGGGATCTAAGTGGAAGAGGTGATAGGGCCGGTGGTCAGCTCAGGGACTGCCCCTGTTGGGGTCCAGGGCCTGCTGGTGTATCTGTACCACTGCTGGGACTTTGGTAGCTCAGTGTTGTGCAGATACAAAATGTATGCCTCCGTGAGGCACACGATGTAAGTGCTGAAGTTCTGTGTAAATTTATTAGCACGAACTGAAGGTACTGTCATTGTTTAACTCATCCGACCTTTTAAATGGATAACCAACCTTGAGGCTTAATTGGATTTAAAAAAAAAATCAATTTCTAGCCATCGCATAGTGTTGAAATGAAGTGCTGCATTCTCAGGCAATTGTAAAATCAGTTTTGCTCAGGACTATTTTTTATTATTTACAACTTTAACATGACATTATCCATCTTGATAAGCGTTTTATGTACACACATACCTTTCATAAACAACCACAAACATACACGTACGTACACCAAGTCACGTCACAAAAGAATCATCATTTTCCGTTGAGCAGCAGGCTGATTCATCAGCAGCAATCTCTTCACACCAATTACACAAAAAACTGAGCTGGGGATAATGACATACCACTGTTTGCAAATCTCTCTCAGCCTCAGCCGGTCTCATCTTTGTAATAAGAAAAAAATCCTTGAGGAAGCTTTTTACCAAATCGCATCTTGACCATTAAATCTTTCTTGAGGAAGGTCATTTAATTTTATGGAAAGAAATGAAAAATTAAAATGGCATAAGCAGAAATAGTCCTGATCTGGAAATCAGAAAGCTGACGATTCTAGTTCTAGTTCTGTGGCTTTGGCAAGAGGGAATCTTGGGTCTCAGTTTCCCCCTCTGGAAAAGGGGGATGTTGGGATGGGGGGGAGTTGTTCTCATTCCCCCACAGTTGATGAAAATGGAGGTCTATTATGGTGTCCTGAGTCAGAACACCAAGTTAAACACACACACACACACACACACACACACACACACACACACACACTCTTAATCCCTCAGCACTTCCTCTGAGAAAAAGAGACCAAATGATGCATAACGAGGGTCTTCTGCCTCCACAACATGTAATCATTTGGATGATTAGCTAAAAGCAATTATAGAATTGTAGTTGACAAACAGAAAATGCTAAGCCCAGTGGTCTCTTGTAACTGAGCCTCATTTAAATGTGCATTGTGTTGAATGGAGCCTCATTTAAATGGTCCATCTTAGCCAGATTACGGAACTGAAGTGGAGAACCACACAGTTACCCTGAGCATTCAGGACAGTCCAGAGAGCTAATTTGGACAATTGGACAAATGATTATTTTCTTTTGCCTCAATTGACCAGATAATTGTACACAAGTGTCTGCCATTTGACTCCATAGAATGTCCCCTTGTGTAGTAAGAAAGCCTGGTCATAGACTGGTACCATGACGTCTGTCCGAGGGTGGCATGGAGCTGGGGACAAGACACACAGCTGACACCCACCATCTAACTCTGAGTCCTAAATCAGAAGCACTTTCACACGTGCTGAGTCTCTGCTTGCACCCAGAGCTCTCATTAGTTCCTTCTAATACCCATCACTTGGGAGGAGGTTGTTTTCAAAACAGAATTAAACAAAACCATCAGGCAACAAGGTTAGAAGTGGAGTCTGGGTGGCCAAGAAAATTAAGTTTTTTGTTTGCTTTCTGTTTTTGAGACAGAGTCTCACTCTGTCGCCCAGGCTGGAGTGCAGTGGTGAGATCTCAGCTGACTGCAAGCTCCGCCTCCCGGGTTCACCCCATTCTCCTGCCTCAGCCTGCCAGGTAACTGGGACTACAGGTGCCCACCACCATGCCCGGCTAATTTTTTGTATTTTTAGTAGAGATGGGGTTTCATCGTTAGCCAGGATGGTCTCAATCTCCTGACGTCATAATCCACCTGCCTCAGCCTCCCAAAGTGCTGGGATTACAAGCATGAGCCCCCGTGCCCTGCTTTTTTCTTTTTTTTTTTTTAAAGATGGAGTCTCGCTCTGTTGCCCAGGCTGGAGTGCAGTGGCACAATCTCGGCTCTCCGCAACCTCTGCCTTCTGGGTTCAAGCAATTCTCCTGCCTCAGCCTCCCTGGTACCTAGGTTTACAGGCATGTGCCACCACACCCAGCTTACTTTTGTATTTTAGTAGAGACAGGATTTCACTATGTTGGCCAGGCTGGTCTTGAGCTCCTGACCTCAAGCGACACACCTGCCTTGGCCTCCCAAAGTACTGGGATTATAGGTGTGAGCCTCTGCGCCCGGCCAAGAAAATTAGTTTTTAAGAGCCAATATACACCAAGATATACAATTCTAGGCATGCATTCATGTGCATGCGCAGTGCTAAGTTCTGAAATATAGCTCATGCTGGATCAACCAGGTCTGGCTACCTAAATCTTGGAATGGAAACTTACCATAACTAATTGATGAATTAGAACCACAGAGAAGCAGGAAGTCTTTGTGATGAGCTGTCTTCCCTACACCCAACTAGGGATATCCCTTCTGTGAAAAGCTCTCTCCACATGGTCCCACATGGCTTAACTAGGGTAAGGGATGCCGATGATCAAAATTAAGGCCACATGTAGAATGACATGCTCTCCTATTAGATTTAGATAGAAACGGTGCTAGGAAAATAGGCTAGGTAAATTTTGTTGTGGCTACAGAACTATGGCAGACAGACCAGGAAGGATTCTAGATTGCTCAAACGTTGGATCAGGATCAGACTTCTTATAGGATGGTCGCTAAATTTCCAGAGGAAATCTATATCCAGCCTGTTTACCTGCTGTCAAAGTGAGCATTCAAAGGGACACCCCAATGGTCTCCCACTTCCAGGCCTCCTGGCAAGTCATGCCTCCAAGTCACTGGTGGCATCTTGCAGCTCTCCACTGACAGCAATGCTTCTTCGGATTGTGTCTGCATACTCTTGTAGCACTGGTTCAAGACTGGGCCACCAAAGACTTAGCTGAGAACGTAACCCAAGAGGTCACCAGTTACGTGGGTGTTGTACCTTTATGTGGTCCTCTTCGGGATGGAAGATTTCTTTAATGTTATTAAGTATCATTGCCGGTCAGAATATTCTTGAACCCTATGGCAAATGTCTCTCCTTTCAGAGTGGATTTGATTCTTGGACAGAGCCAGTGGCCAACATGTGAGTTGGGGAAATGTAAATTCTAAACAAAAAACAAGGTGAGAGCGCAAGAGGAGGTTGTTTCTTTTGTGTAGTTTGTCAACAGGCTCTGAAAGGAACTGCTGTTGAGTCACCGCAGCACCTCAAAACCAAACACCAAGTGCGCCAAGGAGACCTGCCATGACAGCTGCTATTTTTTGTATGCATAAGTTCTGGTGACGAAACCACATACCCCTACCATCACTCAGGTCCACATCTCCCACCAGCAAAACATATGCATCAAAGTCAAGTTTCAGGACAAAGGTCCTCCTTGGAGGACCCCAGGACGGGCACAATCAAGGGGAAACATAGTCTTGGCTTTGAGTTCAACTGGCAGACACTGTCTCTGAAGTTTTTGGTGTAACAAAGTAGGAAAAAATGTCATTTAGAAAGTTAAGTCTCCTAGAGCCTGTGTGTAAGAACTGCTTCTCAACAAGGCACATCACAGTTTTATTTGAAGATTTCCAAATGTTTCTTGGTATGTGTATAAAGCACATATTTTCATAAGAAAAATAATTATCTGCCTTTTCGGCAGTTGTTCTTTTTGTATATTGGATAGCAAATAGATTGTCCCTTTGAAAGCATCCATTAGATAGATCAACTTGCAGACACTGAGGCAAAGGCCTCAGGCACAAAACAGTCAGGGGCCCAAAGGATCACAAAACTGGCCAGGCCCTCTCCTAACACAAATGCATTGGAAGAAACCATGAACCCATTGTTAAATTAATACTAGGATTACAGGATGTTCTTTAATCTGCATGATTGCTTTATTGTACAAAAAGTTTCCAGTAACAGTAAATTGGTTTTAAAAAAGGACAAAAAAGTCATTTTGGATAGAAGCGCTTCACTAATTGCTTTATTTAAGCATACAAGAAAAAAAGTCTTATCTGACCAATTAGGTTGGAAGGGTTTTATTACCTTTAAGAAGCTATTAGCTAGGATAAAACACTGAAAGCACTTGTGTCAAAACAAATAAATAATGTAAATAACGCTCTCTCAATTAGCAGAGAAAGCAGTGAATCCGTTAAATCAGAGACACACACCACTTCACAAGCATGGCTCAGCCAACACCACCACCCCCAAAACGAACAAAACAAGAGACAGCAGTTTTCAGTTACAATCTTGGGAAAGATCAGGAGCTTTGGAAAATGGATGGTAAACATGTCTGTTTCTCCTTCTACCTCCACTCAACCTGAGCTACCCCTGGACACTTTAAAGGAGGCATGTGTCCAGAAGATGCGTCCAGGGACGCCCAGAGGGAGCCTGCCCTGCTAGGCCTCCTCTCAGAGGGTGCATTCCAGGCAGAGGAGACTGGCCTGGGTGATCATTACCTCCATGGCCCAACAGAGTGTGGAAAAGCATGAGGTGCCCACAGACCATGGCTGTCAGCGAGTAAAGGGAAAGAAACCCTGAGGTACCATGATTCTTTTCCTCAAATGCTACTGATCTCTCCCCAAGTACAGGCTCAACAGAAAAATACAGTGGTTTGAGAACTCCAAGAAGTCAGCACACAGGCCCGGGGCCAGCTCCAGGCTGGGTCTGTCTCTCTCCCACCTTGGGAAACCAGTTATAGCACCAGTGCCCTGGCTTCAGGTGGAAAGGGACAGCTCTCCTACCCAGACGGGATCTTTAAAACTATTTTTTTTTTTTTTTTTTTTTGAGACGGAGTCTCACTCTGTCACCTAGGCTGGAGTGCAGTGGCGTGATCTCGGCTCACTACAACCTCTGCCTCCCGGGTTCAAGCGATTCTCCTGCCTCAGCCTCCCGAGTAGCTGGGATTACAAGCGTGTCCCACCGTGCCCAGCTAATTTTTGTATTTTTAGTAGAGATGGGGTTTCACCATGTTGGCTAGGCTGGTCTTGAACTCTTGACCTCATGATCCGCCTGCCTTGGCCTCCCAAAGGCTGGGATTACAGGCGTGAGCCACCGCGCCCAGCCCCTCCTTAAAACAATTTCTAATCAGATCCATTATTTTACCCAAATGGGTTGAGGGGACAAAAACCAACCCTCATCACCCTATTTGGTGAAAATAAATATAAATAAATGATGATCCTCTCTTAAAGGGTCATTTTCCTTCAGGGGTTTATAAGACTCAGCACTTTAAAAAGCTTGAACAGGAATCCGGTATTGCCACTGTGGACTGTTTTTGAGGCAGGTTCCCTAATTTGGACAGCCCCACTCCTAAGAGCAGCAGATCTAATTTGGAACGTCTCAACCATGGGTTAAAATCAGCCGGGATGAAAGGACACCTGCAGTGACTCTCAGCCGCTGATGAGGTGCTGGCTGCTTCTTCTCCAGCCCTCCTTCCTAAACAATGCTTGTCATGGAATACCAGGTCTGCTTCCTGAAATGCCAGGGTCCCTCTAGGTCCTTACCATTCCACAGCCACATCAGTAATAAGAAAACCAGTGGCTACCTGGAGGTGGCACCAACTTGGAAAGGGAGGGCTGGGCAGGGGTTTGGACGTTAAGCCCATGAGCTGTTTGGACAACTTCAGTCTCTGGAATTGAGTTTAAATTTCTGTAAACAACTTCAAAGTCAATTCTAGAGAGATATTTTATGTGACTGGTCCAAGTAAAACACATTTAATGAGGTCATATTCTTCCTAAACTTTTTAAGAGAAGCAAAAACAATGGAAAAGCCATTAAAATTTACACAAAGACCATTAAGACTCTACTGGTGTCAATTAAAACAAGGCCAATAAAACATGAACAACTTCAAAGTTACCATCACTATCCACACTGTTCTACAGTTATACGAATATATTCAAGCACCATATTGATAATAGGTAGGTAAACGACAAAGTCCTACTTTGGCGATCTAACCCACGCTCACACAAACGAGGAGCTTCCTAGTCAAGATGCGCCCAGTCCTTGGCAATGTGCCTGCTTCCTGGGCATTGCTCAGCGGCAGGCAATGGAACAGCCAATAAATCAAATCGCTGGTGGAATATTTTACTTTGAAATGGAGTGATGTTTGGTTAATAATCTGAGATCCACTAATCCTAAATGGGGTGACCCATTTAAAATGGCCTCTGTGTAAATTCACAGTTCATTAAACACAGTCTGGTTTGCACAGGGCATTATGTAGTTAGTATATAACTCATGGATTGAGCAAGGATGGCTGGGGATACCCACGGGGACACACTGGCTGAGTCTGGTGGCTTTCATAACACTGTCAAGCTTTCTTTTAATGTGAGATTCATTTAAATCACTAACTTAAATGTAGGTGGTTTTGCTTAGTAACCTCTTTTGGTTTACAGTAGAAAATGCAGTGCAAACATTTTAAACGAGGAATATTCCATTTACGATTAATTTAAACTTATGAAGCTGTTTCAACTGGCCTATCTAAATGTGTTAATTAACATCAATGATGGTTTCTTATTTTTCACACTTTGTTACTCTGATCATTAACAGTGATGGAAAAGCTAAATTAAGTTAATGGGGAACGGATTATAAATTCTTAAAGGACTTCTTAGTTTGTTTTCAACTGGAAAATATATAGAGAAAGATGAAGAGGCATCTTTGCCTCTACTCATCAATTTTTGGTAACAAATTTCTTAAAAACCAGATGGTTTAAAGAAAATTTTTCCAAAAATTATTTTAACATTCTGCTCAGACATGGCTGCTAAAAAAATAGCATATACACATATAATACTGAACAGCTTCTGCAGTGCCTGTAAACTCTCGGCTCATTTTCTCTTTCTAAAAAAAATATATATATTATAACTGATCACAGAACTCAATCTCTATTGTGCAGCAGTACCAAAGGTTCTTAAATTCTCAACAATGAAGGAAAAACAAAAACCCATTCCCCGGACCGCTTGAGCAGGACTAGGGGAGGAGGAGTCCGTGGATGGTAAGGTTCGCTGCCCGGACGCCCTCGGATTCCTCGAGGCTGCACCTCTGTGGGCAGCTGGCGGGGCGCAGGCCAAGCCCCTCACACCCGGGAGATCCACACGTGCGGCACACACGAAAACCCAATGCCACTTATCGAGACTTCACGCCAACGAGGACAACAATGAGCACAATGATGATGACAAATAATATTAAAATCACAAGCATCTTCCGATTCTTCTTTTGATACTGTTCTGCCTACAAAAAGAGGAGGGAAAAAAGGCCGTCATTTTCCCCAAAATCCCAGATCAGGTCCCACTTGTTTCCAGAATGAGGCTTCCAGATCTCTCTGCACAGTGACTGAGGTCTCTGCTACAGGCTACATGATTGTAATCCCTCCATCAATCCCAGGGAATTCAGTCACCAGGAGTGGAAGAGCCCCATGATCCCGGAGCTGCTTATTTACCCTGGACGTGGAAATGGACTTGTCGGAAACCTACTACTAAGACAAAGGCTGACAGGGAAGTGAAAGCTCATGCTTCCGTGTACAGCTGGGCGTGCTTCTCCCTGCTTCTCCTCCTACAGGCCGTGGCAAGCGCCCCTGCAGCAAGGGCCGCCTGTTCCTGCTCCGTGTTCTTGACGCGAAGGCACAGCTCCTTCACCGCGGAAGGAAACAACGGGCTGGAGGACCGTACCTGGCAGGTAGGCAACAGATGCCCAAAGAGGCCCCATTTCAACCTCCCCTAAATTTGGAAACAAGAACTCATCGTTTGAAATAAAAACACACGTGTGCCCCATGGATGTCATACGCATAAAGATCCCTCTGAGGCGCATCTTCCCAGTGCTGCTAACAATACAGCAAAGGAGCTCTCCAAGCTCCATCTGGGCACCAGGCCTCACCCTGTACATCTCTTCACCCGAACACCGCATCCTGGAAGCTCGGCAGGAGCGCGGGAACTCCACCATGCCCGGTGGAGAAATGCCAAAGGGCCCTGCCTGGCTGGCGAAAGACACACAGCACTGAGAAAGGAGAGCCAGAGGACAGCAGAGTTCAGAGGGCGCCGGGAGGCACGTCCAGAGAGAGCATGCGCTGCCTCTTCCAGACCTTGCTATGGCACAGGAGGGAGGAGGAGACAGTGGGAAGGCAGCCCTGGCGAGAATGGCAATCTCTCCTGCTCCAACCCCTACGGTGGGCTTGTTCCCTGAGCCTGCCTGCCCACCTGGAGGAGCCCCTCATTCACCAGGAGGAAACATCAGGCAGGGAAGAGCACCGGAGAGTCCGGTCATGGGGAGCAGCTCCCGACGCTCAATCACCCTTAGACTAGCCGACTGCCGAGCACGCGGCCAGTCGCGCGTGCTGCCTACAGCCTTGTGGCTGGAGGGAAGATGGAGCACGCTGACTTTTCTAATAAGTAACCCAGAACACCAGGGAAGCCAGTACTAAATAATATACTGTAAAACCTCTCAAAATGATTTATAAAGTAGAATCTAAAACAAAATTTTTAGTTCCCACTAGATTTGCTCACTCCCGCAGAGAAAGCTTTTCCTTTTATCTGTGTTATATTACAAAACATATTTCACTAGTTTTTATTTAAGAAACTTCAAAACCAATGCATAATTCAGCAGCACATCAGAACCTGGGTATTACAGAGTGAGAAACTAAAGTTAGTTTTCACTTTTAATAGACAGGGCTTGGCAACCAAATTAATCTAAATGCTTAAAAAACCCCTGCATAGACGAGGTCAGACTTCTCCTCCCCACCATAGGCTGAAGTCTCACATCCACCCACACGTGGCAACAAGCCCCCTGATAAGACAGCTCAGGGCTTCTGGTTAGACTGGTGCAAGGGCTGACTTTTTGTAAACCCAATACTGCTGTTAGATGGGGTGATCTCTGGTATAGGAAGCGACTGATTTTAGAAAAATGGTAGCGTAGTCCAATAGTGAAATGGCAAAACACTCATTATATGGCTAGAAACTCCACTGAGTCCCAAAGATACAAGGAAATGGATATGACTTAATTTGTGAAGTATTGTTATATTCCTTTTAAAGAAAATATGTAACCAATTATATATGGGAGTCTCCAGCAGTTTATGCATGTTTCTCATAACTGATAAAATTCCTAAGATGCTTTCCATCTATTTTTTTAAAAGAAAGAATATCATAAAAAACATCCCTGAGGCCAGGCGCGGCGGCTCATGCCAGTAATCCCAGCACTTTGGGAGGCTGAGGTGGGCGGATCATAAGGTCAGGAGATCGAGACCATCTTGGCTAACATGGTGAAACCCCATCCCTACTAAAAATACGAAAAACTAGCCGGGGTGGTGGCGGGCGCTTGTAGTCCCAGCTACTCAGGAGGCTGAGGCAGGAGAATGGCGTGAACCCGGGAGGCGGAGCTTGCAGTGAGCCGAGATCGCGCCACTGCACTCCAGCCTGGGCGACAGAGCGAGACTCCTTCTCAAAAAAAAAAAAAACAAAAAAACACAAAAACATCCCTGGAACAGCTGCCTTATTAGCACAGAATAAAAGAATTACTACTCTACTCTCACTTCAACAAACTTCTCTTTTCTCAAGGTAATATACAGATATGCTGTGATAATTAAAAGAGAAAATTAGATTTTTATCTTCTCCAGAATGATTCTCCACGAGCAATTCATCAGAAATGTGTCACAACAAGAGAGGCCCAAGTCAGTGGCAACAAGCACACAGATTTTCAACACATATTTTAGCAAATGCCCAACTGATTTCCTAAAACGAGAAGCATCAAAAAAGAATGAAATATTTTCTAAAAGGAAGAACTCCAATTCCTTTAGAATTTACTGTCACAAAAAGGGGTTCTTGGCAATTTTGGATTTAAGTGTGAGATACACCTGGAATCATTAACTACAATAAAACGGCAACAGACCCCACAACTGGCTTTAAATGAAATGACGAATCCCTTTTTACACTACTGTATTGAGAGTGGACAACACAGACAAGAATGCTGAAGATCGTTATGGTGGAAGAGAACCTTCTTACCAATTCTTGATTATTTGAAAATAGTTCCTAAAATTCCCAACTTTTGAAAGATATGTTATTACCTTGTGAAGCTGTTTCAAGCCATCTTCGGTTTTGATACAGGACTGTTCAACGTTATAGTCAATTCTATCAAGGACCGTACCCTAGGTAATAAATAACAGTTACAGACAATCAACAATGGCAACTGTCAAAATTGAACATCAAAAATGAGATATGCAAATTACAGACATCAGCATCCATAAGATGATATTTTCTTTCCCTGTATGCTGCAGGTACACACGGAGGGCTCTAGAGTTCACCCTCAATTGGTGTCAGGAGCTTGATGGCAGAGTGCTGGTTACTGCCATCACGTCTAGCTCACGAGAAAGAAGTACTGACAGATTGAGGTTTCCTTATTAGTTTCAGTTACCATAGAATATGCCATATTCAGACTTACTGGGGCCTTAAACAATATATGGTTCAGTGGACAGAGGCTCTGACCAGCACAGAAGCTCTGTGCCCCTTTGCTGTCTACATACTTGGATTCAAGTAAGCAGAGACCACCAGGTAAGCTCGACCCTGTTATGAGTAGACCTGCAAATTGACTATCATGTCTGTAAACGTGGATACACATCTCTATGGGTCAGAGCAGAAAATGGTAAACTCCAGTCTACCACCTAAAATTAAAAATTTGGACTCAAGGGGAAGATGTTTAATTGTTTAATCTCTTAATACAAATTGGAAGAAGTAGACACTGGGCTATGAGGAAGAACAGAGCTTTTATTGGAAACATGTTGGATAAGAAGAGAGAGCAGTTCACTGGGAACCGCTGTAGTAATTAATGTAACTGGATCTTCCAGAGCCTGAACACTCCATTCTGCAGTTGGTTTCAGGGGGATCAGGACCCAAATCCCTGCTGGCAAGATAATAAAATGCCCTAATCAGATTTTAACAGTGAACAACAATTTAATTCTGCTTGAAAGCTAGTGGTTCCAATCGCCATTACACAATAACCTGCCAAAATTAGAAGGGAAATCTTCTATATTATCAGAATCATTGCTGAGCTTGGTCAGAGTCAACACGGTCTCTACAGTAGGGTGCTCACATGAGTACCCTCGAGGCATAGGAAGAGAATATTAGAACTTCTATTTATTTTTTATCAAAAAAAATTAATATTCTTATAGGGAATGACAGTAGCCTATGTATATAATTTTGTAAATACACACATCTTCAGGCTGAGTGTCCCTTATCTGAAATGCTTGAGACCAGAAGTATTTTGGATTGGGGATTTTTTTTAGATTTTGGAATATTTGCATACACATAATGAGATATTCTGGATGGGACCCAAGTCTAAACACAAAATTCATTAATATTTCATATACCTTATATACATGGCTTGAAAGTAATTTTATACTATATATATATATATATTTTGAGACAGTTTCACTCTTATTGCCCAGACTGGAGTGCAATGGTGCAATCTCGGCTCACTGCAACCTCCACCTCCCAGGTTCAAGCAATTGTCCTGCCTCAGCCTCCTGAGTAGCTGGGATTACAGGCACCTGCCACCATGCCCAGCTAATTTTTTTGTATTTTTAGCAGAGACAGGGTTTCACCATGTTGACCCGGCTGGTCTCGAACTGCTGACCTCAGGTGATCCACCTGCCTCAGCCTCCCAAAGTGCTGGGATTACAGGTGTGAGCCACCGCACTCGGCTACAATATTTTTACTAGTTTTGTGCATAAAACAAAGTTTTGACTGCAACCTGTCACATGAGGTCTTGTGTAGGAATTTTCCACTTGTGGCATCATATCAACACTCAAAAAGTTTCTAATTCTGGAGCATTCTGAACTTCATATTTTCTGATTAGGGATGCTATGTATATATTCATAAACATATGTGTGTGTGTATATAAAATGACAGGTGCACACACACGTTGGGGGAATTGGCTCCAATTTTTTTCCCTGAAAGGAGTACAGGAAAAAGAACGAACAGATAGTATGGCAGGAAAACCTATTCACGAGGAAGGCCAGCTCACATACCTGTTCTACAATCATCGCTCCTAAGTCCCTGAATATTTCATTCAGGTCAGAAATGGATTGTACGATCTGGCGAATCTCTCGTTCCCGCTCTTCCACCATCAGTGTGTTCTGCTCCACCAGAACTAACTGGTCATCTGTAAAACCCTAGCAAAATAGTGCACAATTTGTTGGATAGATTGTTTTCCCCTCTCAGGAAAGCTATGGTGTACTTGTTTAGATATAATTTAAAGACAATAATTTAAAGAAAATGAATTCTGAAAATATTTCTACAAAGCACATAAATAATAAGCAAGCACTTATTTTTCCCTAACAGGAAAGATTCAAACTCCCTAAGCCAGCAGGATCTAAAGCTCTGAGGCCATAGCAGGGAAGACAGAAGCCCACGTCTGCAACTCTGCAAGGGCAGATAAACAAAACCCCTGGGATAGCCCTCTACTTCTCTGGGCCCTTCCTAAGAAGGCAGGGTGTTGACCACTTTCCCAAAGGCTCTGGAAAGCAGATTACAAGGTCTCTCTGTGGCCTTTGGAAAGGAAGAAACAGTATGGCTGTTCTTCCACCTGCTGCAAAAACAACTTGATGAATATACAAGTCAACTGTACCAATCCACTGACACTGTGCAGAAGTTCGAGGTCTAGGAGGAGAGAGCAGCAGAATGGGGTGCACAGACACAGTAATCAGCTTTGCAGCCACTCACATACCCGATGGTAAAGAGTATGATCGTCTCCATCATCCACTAGTGGTACTGATGTGTCGAAAAAATGCTGGGATCTTTCCTCTCGATTCTTCATGCCTACCACAGATAGGAATTCACCTTACTTGAATATGTAGACCATCCTGGGTATTGTTCTACCATTAAAAGGGGGAATTCTAGAGTAAACTCCAACAGTCAAAATTGAGATATTCTTAGCCGCTTTAAAGAAGCCTAACTCCAATGGGGGTGGAGGGAGAGTAAAGAATTACAAACATACAACAATATGCAGGCATTTGGGATTATTCAAGACAAAGTCACAGTGTAAATGTGCACAATTCACTTGATGCCAAGACAAAAATGACACAACCATCTGAGAATTTCTAAGTGAAACAGAAATATTTAATCTAACTGCTGTTACAAAACATTAAAAAAAATCAGTATTTCTCTCTAGAAGCATCTCTAATAAGAATTCCATATGGCCCTAATCAAATTTTGGAAGTAATAAAATTAAAATACAAATGTGCCAGTTGTCAGAGGGAGGGTGAACTGAAGTTTTTTTTGGAGTATGTGGGGACTTTATTGATCACAATGGCAATTTTTAAAAAACCCAGTTTACAGGGTGATGAGAATAAGAAGAGAGCTGAAATCTGGCTTTGCACTATTTGGGAAGGAAAGGTCTGTTGGGTGAAACCCATGGTGCCAGCAGAGGAAGTGTTTCAAGAACCCTGGGGAGGGTTTCTCAGGCGCTCTCCAACACTTTGGTTGTTATGCAAATACGTGGCTTTCAGTAATAACAACTGCTTTTTACCTATTGAAGAGCAGCTCTCCCAAACCCCAACATCTAGAAAACAACAGGTTTTTAAAATGTGCTTGATTTTCAAATTCTTGCAGCTTGACACAAAACAAATTTTGTTTGCTGAGATGCTGAACTATCTTGGTGCCCTCCCCCAGCCTTGGTTGGTACCCCATGCTGTGCCTTCATTCCAAGCCAGGTTTTCACATGAGGAGGAGGCTTCCCTTTATTGCATAAGGTGTGAACGTGTTCGAAAGGTAACAATGAAAGGTATTGGACTAAATGAAAAATTAGTCGCAAAAAAGAAAACATAAAGTGCTTTTCTTACTCAAAATCCCTTCACTAGGCCCGGGCAGCACTCACGTTTGAGGTAGCCCGACTGTGCGTGCCGGAAGCTGGTGGAGAGTTCCTGCAGGGCCTGCGCCAGCGAGGCCACCACGTTCCCAAGCAGCCGCCCCTCCTGCTCGGAGCAGGCCCGGGCCCGGCTCGGCAGGGCCTGCACGGCACGCTGGCACCTGTGGAAGAGCTAAGAGAACAAGCCCGAGGCTCAGGGCAAGCCTGGGAGAGAAGCCCCTCTGCTAACACTGCCATCATCACAAGCCAGAGAGAGAAGTGAGAGGCTCTGTTCACTCAGGCTGGTTTAGAGAAAGGTGAACAGATAAAAGGAATCTGTGGCTTAATTTATACACACAGAAAGATTTCACTAGATTTCAGCTCCTGCCGTGTAAGGCCTGCTGTGTGCCCAGCTGCTCACGTATCACGTTAGACAGGCTGAGTATCCCTCATCCGAAATGCTTGGGATCGACAATGTTTAGGATTTCAAATTTTGGGAGATTTTGGAATATTTGCAGAATACCTACTAGTTGAATACCCCAATCTGAAAATTCGAAATCCAAAATGCTCCAATGAACATTTCCTTTGAGTGTCATATTGGCACTCAAAAAAAAGTTTCAAATTTTGGAGCATTTTGGATTTCAGATTTTCAGATTAGGAATGTTCAACCTGTATTATCATATATCATATTATTATTGCATTCCTCTCATTTAATCCCTAACAAGCATCCTATGAGGATGGTACTATTATTATTAGTCCCATTTTACAGATGAGAACACTAGAGTCAGAGGGATTAAATGAGAATCATGTAACTGTTAAACTGATAAGAGTCAGGTTTCAAACATTCCAAAACCCCAGGGCTTTTCTCAAAGCACCATATTCCTCTGATAATTAGCACCCAGGAGACTTAAGTAAAAAATGTAAACACTGAAGTTTAAACACTAGTCCTATTATTTTAAAATTAATCAAATTTAGTATTTTATAAAAATTTTTTCTAGGCTACTAAGTTGTTTTTTCAATTATGAGGACTATATTTTAGCATTAAAATTTCTTACCACTAGTATACGATATTAGCTATACATTTTAAAATCAAAAGATTGAACTCGATAATGTTTGAAATTTCATATTTACTTTATTACTTTATCAGTCCACAGTAGTATCTGCCAACAATTGAAAAACAGTCCCCACACCTCCAAGGCCTCACAGGTACCTACGCTGACAGTTGGAGGACTTCTGGGCCTACTGAGGTCCCTTTGAGAACTTCGGGTTGGGAAATGAACTCCAGGAGACTGACTTTGAGTAACAGTCTAGTTTCTGAGATTGCCATGAGAAGGCTCACTGGTTTCCCCAGGACTCACTTGCACTCCTCACCTGAGTGATCTCTTGGGTAGTTATCTCAATGGCATGTTCCTCTTCACTGCTGTCATCCAGGGTGGGTCTGTTTAAATGCTTGTCATGAAGGCTGGCCAATTCTTTCATCTTCTGCTTAATCCGGCCAACATCATACTGAATCTAAGCAAATGAAGTCACAGAACTCCACTGATGCCAGGCAAGCTATTGGTCTGCCTCCGAGACAATCAGCTACACTCAGCATACAGAATTTGGTCTTCAGCAAACTTGTTGGCTTGCTGATGTGTGAGCAGCTTTAATTCAAATTACCAGAAAATCACATAGCATTCTTCCTTGTTGCATGGTTTTCAATTTATTCCTATAATTCAGGTAGTTACTACCAGTGTTAAAACTAAAGCTAAAATCATTAACACACACAAAGACAACTTAACCTGAAGTATTTCTAGAAATATATATTCAAGTGCGGCCAAATTCGTTTATATGACAGATATCTTAAAATACATTGTCATAATTACTTAAAAAAACAAGATGGTATGAAACTAACATGCAACTTACTTCATCCACTCCATCCACCCATTTAGGAGGTGACCGTTTTGTCACACCAATTGCTGCTTCTGGATCTAAGCTGATGCCTGACACAAGTGCCATACGGTCATCAGCAAGCTACAGGAAAGTAAAGGGACAGGAAAAAAATTATTCCAATCTAATTTAGATACAAATACTCTTACTCTCTTAAATGTTGCTCCCTGAAAAGATACAGAAAGGAGTGAATGTTTACTCTCTCTTAAATGTCGCTCCTTGAAAATATATAGAAAGGAGTGAATGCACTTGCCTGCATTATAAACTTGCTTTTGATAACTGCTAGGATTTGGATTGTTCAACTATCTTTTCATGCACCAGCTCTTAATTTCCTTGGATATACTTGAGAACGTGAATTTGACTTGATCTGGCTATAGAAATGTAATGAAAAAGTCAACAATAGATCCTTAAAATAAATACCTCTTAGTACTAGTACTGTGATAGAACCGCAAGAACCGCAATGATTCGTGTGATCAGTTACAAGTGGAAAAAAAAACAAAACTAGGTGGTAAATGAAACAACTACAAAATGCTCAATAGTAGCAAGGTTTACTTAAATACGCTTAGCTTATTTTGGAAAGAGGGCTGATCCAGTTATCTCAGTCACACAGTCATTAACCACGTGTTAAGATGTGTGAAACAACTGCCTAAAACTGCTAGCAAATTATCTACCATTTGGCAAAAGCAGTCCTTAAGATCTCAATGCAATCTTACACTGTCATTTCTTTTCTTCAGTTAAATGTCCACAGGCAACATTTCCCCTTATTTTGAAATGATATCGATGGTTCTTGTTTATTTTAACTATATAAGACACTGCTGTAGAAAGCTTTTAAGAATGGGAGGGAAATCGGGTGGGTGTGGTGGCTCACGCCTGTAATCCCAGCACTTTGGGAGGCCAAGGCGATCACCTGAGGTCAGCAGTTTAAGAGTAGCCTGGCCAAAATGGTGAAAACCATTCTCTACTAAAAATACAAAAATTAACTGGGCATAGTGGCTTACACCTGTAATCCCAGCTACTCGGGAGGCCGAGCAGGAGAATCGCTTGAACCCAGGAGGGGAAGGTTGCAGTGAGCCATGATTGTACCATTGTACCATCACACTCCAGCCTGGGCAACAAGAGCAAAACTGTCTTTAAAAACAAAACAAAACAAAAAAAAAACGGGGAGGGAAATCATGGGTTTGGCATGGTTAAGCTGTTTTCTTGCCTGCAGGCAGTGAATCGGTTGAAAAGCTCTTGAGGTGCCCTCCAGAGCTCAGAATTTTTAAATGCCAATTTCAAAAGATCCAAATGATGATCAAAGTATAATGGAAAATAATCTATAAAAGTCCTTTATAGATAATACTTTGGAAATTTTCTAAATCATACTGTAGAGTTGGGTGAAAAATTCATACTGCTTTTCTTCCCTCTTCCTTGCATTTATCTAAATTTATTTTTTCATTCATTAAATACTTATTTCCTTTTCTAATAATAAAGGAACAAGACAAAATTTTAAAATCCACAGATGAAGGGGGAAAAATGTCATATAAAGAAAAACTTAAGAGTAAAAGAACACTTCAAGTAATAGGCCCTAAATCCTAAAGAGTTCACAGTAAAATTCTTAAAAGCAAATTGGTATCTTCACCATCAACCTCCCTGCACACCCCGGGGTGGTTCTGCCACCATCTGCTTCAGGCTTTCTGTGTGCTCTGGGGCATGTGTCCACTCAGGGAGCACATCTTGGGCAATGACCATGCTGGACAGACCAGGCCCCATTCACTAATCCCAGTGCATCCAGGAGCCGTGATTAAGCCCACCGGTGCTCCAGCACGGCAGGATGCTGCAGGGCCAGTGTCATTTCTTAAACAAATGGTGTGTCATCCAAACCCGCACTGTTTCGGGCTGCCAGGCCGTGAAGTGGTAATTCTCTACCACCACCACGTTCTGTTTGGTTTTAAGCGTTCACCAATAGGAATTTTACGTTCTTGACATTATTTTAATCCTCACAAAAACTAGGTGAGCTAGAAACTATGATTCTAACCTATAAATATGGAAATTGAAACTCAGAAAAGTCGCTTGCCCAAGGTCACAGGGCTATTATGTGACAGACTGAAACCTGGGTCAGCTGACTCCAAAAACCCCTTCCACCCTCAAAGGTGCCAATCACTCCACAGGCCCATGAACTATAACTGCAATTTGCTAAGAAAATGAATCAAGACAAGCCATCAGATTAAAACAAGAAAATATAGTAGTTTGATTCATTTCCCACCTACTACACCAGGGACTATAGGATAGGCCCCCAGTGAGTGACGTTAAGTGTCAGTAAAGATCACCCTCTCTTCCTGACCATACGTGGACAGAGAGATGCAGACCTCACCCTCTACAGCGCAGGCACAGAGGAGGCCAGTGTCAAGCAATCAGAGGAAGACTTGTTTATTCCTCAACAACTCCTGCTCCAAAGTCACCAAGAGGTACACAACTCTGTGGGAGACACACTGACTAAAAAGCAGGGGGACAAACCACAGGCCCAGCTCCCAGCACCTGCCAGCCATACATCAGGTGCTGTCTATAGGTACTGCTGGACTGGAACAGAACTTGAACTCCAGCTGTTTATACAAAGTAAAATCTAAAATTGCTAAAGTAACTCTTCATGAGTCCTAGAATTTCTACCACACCAGTTTATTATCGAATCCACTATATTTTATTATTACACATTTCAATACAGTAATTATTTACAGTGATTTTATAATTTTTAAACTCATGATCTTACTTTGTACTGTTTTTACTGTTTACAAATACGTATTACACTAAAGAAGACAGAGAGATGGTATCTATCTAAATTTACCTGCATTGGGATTAGCATCATTTTATCCAAAACAACAAATTATAAACCACATTATGAAAAGTCAGTTGAAGTGAATACAACTCTTTGAAGTAGTACTTGATTTTATGCATGTGTTCCCCCCAAATTAGATGTAAATCAAAAGTGGGGAGAACACACTCTTTGTTAAGGGTCCTAAGGTAGCTTGATAATTAAGAGATCCCTACACGAAGGGCACGGATGCCAGCCCGCTCAGCTGGTATAGCTTTCCCATACACTCTATCAGGGTTTTGCCAGTAAGATAGAACAACTGATTCTTTGGGAGTGAAAACTTTAAATAGCGAATAATTTGTCTCTTTTATGACACAGTCTATAGCTATAGTTCATTATGATAAAGAAATACCGCCCTACTGAGAAGAAGTGTGTCATTTCTTTTATCAGTATGGATTTGTAATGTGTATCACAGTATGTACTATTAAAAAACAAGACAGTATGTTTTGGGAAGGGAAAACAATTGTTGAAGATAAACATCAACTATTTGAAATGGGAACAAATATGGACATAAAAAATTTTTATGTGCAAAATAAACACCCTTTTAATTTCAGAAACCTCACTTCCCATTTAAAAACATGTCTTCTTATTTGTTGAAGATCTAGCACATATATCAATTTTCAAGTTGTCATCCTATTTCATACAGATCTTAAAAAATGGCCAGATTTCTAATTCTCTTCACTTACCCCTGCTGAATTTCAACATGGTGGCCCCTCTAAATATATGATGTTGGTTACTAAAGCTTTTTTAAAAATAAATTTGTGCGGCCAGGCGTGGTGGCTCACGCCGGTAATCCCAGCACTTTGGGAGGCAGAGGCAGGCAGATCACCTGAGGTCGGGAGTTCGAGACCAGCCTGGCCAGCATGGTGAAACCCCGTCTCTATCGAAAATGCAAAAATTAGCCAGGCGTGGTGGCATGCACCTGTAATCCCAACTACTCAGGAAGCTGAGGCAGGAGAATCACTTGAACCCGGAAGGCAGAGGTTGCAGTGAGCCGAGATCGCGGCAATGCACTCCAGCCTAGGTAACAGAGACTCCATCTCAAAAAATTAATTAATTAATTTGTGCTTCTGAAGTAAAAAAATCTTTCCATATTTTTTAAATAAAAATTGTACTTAAGAGAATTAAGAACTCTTGTCTCTTTGATATGTAGTTCCTCTCTCCAAGAACTACTGGGGTCTGCTACCCTAACCTAGAGCCATCCTTCCTGAGAGAAATGCAGAAAAAATCCAACAGATGTTCAAAACAGCACACCCAATGGCTTTCCTGCTAGTCTCACCAAAGGTATCTTTTGCCTTTGATCCACTTTAGATGTTGACATTTGTCCCTTTAAAGAGTACCAGCCAGTATGGACAAGTTGTCCACCTATGGAAGGAACATACACACTCTCTCTTACAAATCTTGCTGTTCCAGATCGACAGCCCTCCTACTCTTAAAACCCCGCCTTTCCCTGAAGGCTGATTTAGTGTAGCCTAAGATTACAGAAATAGCAAAGCCTCTGCGGAGATTGGAAAAGTCAGATACACCTCTTCCCCATCTAAAAAAATCAACTAAGCTTAGCCATAACGCACTGGCAATGAGAACAATACTGATAATTCTGGACTGTCTATGGCAATGAACACTTAACAAGTCCAGAAGGGACACTGAAAATCAACAGACTGGCAACTCATGCTTCCCACATGAAACTCTGGGAGCCTGTATGATGAAGTCAGACCACTTTGCTAATAGACAATTAGGCTTAAGAAATCCGAGTTGTTGGAGAAGGGAATAAGCATGTAGATAAAAGAAAAAAGTGATGTCAGCACTACATTTTTCTAAACCTGTGATAATTTTAAAATAATGCTTACCTTTTCTGATTATGAAATTAATAAATGGTCAAAATAAATACTTTTAAAATGGTATAGGATGGTGCAGTGGCTCACACCTGTAATCCTAGCACTTGGGAGGCGAAGGCGGGTGGATGACTTGAGCTCAGGAGTTCGAGACCAGCCTGGGCAACATGGCAAAACTCTGTCTCTACTAAAAAATACAAAAAAAAAAAAACCCAAAAAGCCGAAAATAGCCAGGCATGGTGGCACGCACCTGTAGTCCCAGCTACTCAGGAGGCTCAGGCAGGAGAATCGCTTGAAACCGGGAGGCAGAGGTTGCAGTGAGCCGAGATTGCGCCACTGCACTCTAGCCTGGGTGACAGAGTGAGACTCTGTCTCAAAAAAATAAACAAAAATAAATAAAATGATACAAAAAATATAGAGATAAAAACACTTGAGAACCACATCATCCTGATACTGTTGTCAGTTGCACTGATTTTCCTTTTTTCTCAACTAACATACATACTCTGAGGGGGAGAACAAGGAAGGGAGCAATCCGTTCCTCTCTGCCTTCTGTGAGCACTGTACTGAGCACTGCTACTGACCTGGCCCACGCCAGTCCCAACAGCAATCCTTCAGAGGGGCGCCGCTCCCTATTTCACCAACATGGACACTGGGGCCCGGCCCAGGCACTCTCAGATGTGCACCAATCAGCCATCCTCCAGGCAGTGTGGTTTGGGGGCTCGATATTTGTATCTTGTGACTTTTAAAATAATTCTTACCTTGAATTTAAAAACTCCCAAACTTGGGAGATTTCTTTGTCATAAGACGGGAAGTAGATTAAAGATAGAGAACAAAGGAGAGGGCCAGACACTTCCCTGGGTAAGACAACCAATGGTGGGCTCGGCTTCCTCCTCAGGAACACCTTACTTAGTGTTTTCTGAGAAGGAAAAGTGACATCTCCAGGGGACTCAGGCTAGAGGAGGAGAATGACAATCAAACATGGAGAGACCGCAGGAAGCCCCTGAAGTGGGGCCGTCGATGCCTTCACCCTGGGAGATGCGGGTGATATGCACTCAGGGACATTTGTTCAGGCCTCACCTATAAAGGGGTGGCTACTATCTAATCCACTCCGGAGCTGGGCGTTTACTATTTCCAGAGACGCCAATGTGAGGCCTTGCTTCAGCTTCAAAGAAGCCTCTGGACACTGTCCCCAACCACACTCCCAGCTCCTAGGCCAGTACCTGGCACTTCAGAGTCCTGAACGCACAATCACAGCCAGCTGAGTGAGCCGACAAGAAACGAGTGGAATAAATGAATGAGGTAAATAAAATGTACGTCACAGACAATTGTGGAAGCCACACTTCATGAAAAAGATAATGGTGCTGGACAAAAGAGCAAAAGGGGCAAGTGAAACGCACAAGGAAATGAGCTGGCTGTGGGCACCCACGATGAGGCAGCAACCTGCATTTCTAATAGCACTGGGGTGCGCATGGAGGAGATAGTGCTCTCTACGCAGGGCCTCTGATCACGGAGCATGAAGACTCCCTTTTGAGCCCTTAGAGGTGAAGCATAAGAAAAGCAAAAAGGCCTGCCAAGTTCATGCAGTGAGTAGCCAGTTTCTGGAACTTGCTGCCTGAAAAAGGAAGTAGGAAAGACTGGAAATCGGTTCAGACAGCAGACCCCGAAGTAATTATGACCATTTATGTGCCCCTCCTTGGAACATTATTCAAATGGTTCTTCAACCTAAGTGGTTCTATAATTTGTTACCCTCCCCCACACCCTATACACTTCCTTTTGAGGTCAGAAGCTCCATAGCTTCAAACTGTTCAGCCAATAGCAACACCTATTTTAACTCAGAATGCCTGCTCTCCAAGCCCCCAAGCCTTAACATTTTTAAAGATTGATCAGCAAAGCCACCCACATCCACTGTGCTCCAGAGATCCCTACCTTCATGTGTGTGAGCTGGGCCCTCTCCAGTGCCCAGTGACCAAGCGGGGAGCTGGCGGTGAGGTTCCTGAATGGGAAAGGAAACCCCCACGCAGGCATGACCATGACACCTGGCTCAGTCAGCTACCAGTTAAGTGGGGTTTTTTTTTTTTTTAACTAATTGTTTTTAGTGGCAAAGTATACATGCACATGGTTTAAAAATATATATGCACCCTAAGAAAAGAGTTTGTAATAGAAAGGAAGTTTTTCTTCTATCTCAGATGTTTCTTGGGGTGTGTCCACTGTTAACAGTTTCTTGTATATCTTTTCAGGAATTTTTTAAGCACACACAAGCATAAATATGAGTTATTTTTTCCTGAAAAAACAAAACAAAAAGGAGCAGGAATCACATTATCCATGCTACTCTGCATCTGGGTCTTTCCACTCTGCCATGTGTCTGGGGCTCATTCCACTGCAGCTCTCATGGATGGGCCTCACTATTTGCCTGGTACAGAGGGTCAGAGATGCTACATGATGTATTTAACCAGCTCCCAACAACAGCTATTTAGGCTGTGCTCAGTCTGTTGTCATTATCAACTAGTTAAGGTTTTTAGAATATATAGGTAGATCTGAATCTAATAGTTAGGACCCTACTGGTTTTAAGGACAGTGATCCTAATCCTACTTTACTGTTCATACTTCTAAATGAAAACAAACAAGAACAACCCTCACTTCTCCATCACTCTACACTCAGGAAAAATATTCTTACCCCTTCAATGCTGAAAACAGACAATAGACACAAACATTAACAACAGTTTTCATCTCATTTTTTCTCAACCCTTTTACTAGGGCTACTAAAATAAAGTGCTTTGAATATATACTCTCTCCACCTTCTGGGCAAGATGCTACTAGCTAATAAAAAGGCCAAAGGCACCCCCAGCTAGGAGATGCAGAACTGGGCCCAGGTGACAACAGCTTCAGGTGCATCCACTGGGTGTCAACTCATTCCAGACAGGAGTGACAAGGAAGACCCTCCCACAGTTGCCGTGGCTACAGTCCTTCTCTCTTAGGGCCTTCACAGACACGCTAGTCTTCTATACTGTCTACCTGAGCAAGTGCACCACTCACCTCTCAGAAATCAGGAAGCTACAGACATTAATTCCCGAAACGTTCTGGCTTCCTTGAAGAAAGTGTTCAACCTTTTTACTGCTTCCAAAGTTGAGACACTTTCCCAAGAACAGTAAACAATCTTCCCAAAGCCTTTTTCAAATCATCAGTTCACATGGTGTGAAAATATATTAAATTCTACATATTAAACTGTTAAAAAAATTAGAAAATAATCAAAACAAATGCTAAATATTTATAAGCTGTTAGCATTTTATATATGAGCAAAGACTTCAGGAAAAGCAGGTATTTTATAATCTCAAATTACCCAACATATAAAAATATTCAAAACACGATACCTCGTCCAGCTCCTGAAGAGACATGTTGTTCCCATCAGTCCCATCCAGTTAGGGAAAGCAAAAAGAAAGCAGCATGGGACAGACAGACAAGGCATGGTCAGTTGAGAAAACACTGAGATTTTAAGCTAACTAAATATAAAGATCCACTAAGCAAGGTATTTTAAAATCTCCTTTTGATTCTTCTTTTTTTAAAATAAGCTACATCAATATATGCTTTTATTTTTATTTACCGTGGTTGTTTTGAAAATGAGCTAGGAAACAAGCAAAACATGATTGTAAATATTAAAATACACTGGAAACAGATAAAACACACTTGCTTTGGTTTCACTAAAATATGCTGTTAATCTGTTTCATAAACACCAAATATCACATACAATACCACATTCTAATTTCCCTTAGGAAAATAAAATGAGAGCAGAGCTAAAATGTAATTTTATCATGTTAAATAAATGTATATTTTAACATGTAAATCAGACCTGCAAATGCAACAAAATTAAAAAATGAACGCCCCACAGAAACTGTCTGTAGCCGTATTCAGATAACATGTGAGTGACCACACATGCAAGGTCTCTGCAAATTACATCCCGCAGACACGGCTTCATCCCTGGTAGTAAGAGAGCTGAGAAACCACTCTTTCCCGGAGAGAGACACAGGTGGCAAAATAAAAGAAAAACTCTTACCATCTCTTGGTATGTATTATTATTAGCTAGAAAGCGTACAGTTATTCATAAAGCTCTTATAAAAGCAAGCAAACGAGACAAAACAAAAGGTAAGAATACATTTTTTCTTTTAAGGGGAGTGGGAAGGGAGAAGCATGACACCAGAGGGTTAAGTTTCAATTGAAAACTAACGGTTCTTTTTTAGATCAACATGGAACTCTATCTTCTGGACAGACATTTACTAATGACAGATAATCTAAACAACTAGCTCTTTTTTTTGTACAGTATTGATCACTGAAATAATTTGTGGTGAAATTCAATAATCAATTGTGTTTTTTTATGTTTAGCAGTAAATTTAGAAAATAAAAAAACAACTTCCTTATTTAAAAATAGTGCAAATGAAGCTGCTGTATCAGGGCCAAAATATTATTAAACAATGATAGCAATAAAAATGTAATCAAACTTTACTCCATGTAAAAATTCAATTAGATGACATTATGGAAAGCTGCAAATCCTCTTCATTCCTTCTACAATTTTCTATGAGAGCAAAAGAGAACTCTATACACACCCTGCCATAATAGTAGTACTAGACAATATTAATAAAGATAGTATCAAATGGAAATCTGATTTAATTACCTTTTACTTCACAAAGAAAAAATGTTTTTATTTTTTAAAAGCTTAACATTAAGAGAACATTAAAATCTTTTATTAATAAAACATGATGCAAGACAAAACCCCTAACTTGAGTATCTCAGTCTTCTTACTATTCTGCAACGGCTCCCTGGCATTTAATCTGTGAACGATGTACTACTGCAAACCTCGGTTAAAATCTCGGCTGCACATGTGCCTATGCTCTTGGATTATTAACCGAGCACACACACCCTGATCTTCTGATTGCTACAATTATTAATTGATAAGAGGTGAAATCTGAATCATGGGATTCTAGGGCTAGAAATAACTCTTTTCTTACAAATAAGAAAACTAAGCTTCAAAATGTATAAATGCATTGCTCGAAGCCACAGACCTTGTTAATGGTCAGACCGGGGACAGACCCAGGTGTTCAGGTCTCTTTCCACCCCACCCTCCAGCCTCTCTAATTTTATTAACAATTCAGGGAATTACTTGTAAAGGCAGCTACCACCACATCAGGAATATTAAATTAAGGTCACCTTTTCAAAGACCCTCCCCACCATTCTGCTACTTAAAAATAGAAGGCTTTCGAAGCTCTGCTTGCCACCAAATTACCAGGAAATTTAGTCAAGACCTGAATTAAAACATTTAGAATTACCACCAGGAAAGACCAAAATAAAGCCAAATGAAAACACATTACTACACATCATCACCTTCTAAATCTTTATGTCTAAATCTAGGTTTTTGACCTGCCAATGGCATGCAATCAAGCAAATACTGAAAACTCCAAGTAGCATGTGGAATTTATAGTCTAAAGAACTTTCTACATAAAACTGAAAAATCAGTGGAAACCCATCTGTGTTTACTCAGGAAGTCTGGAAAAGTTGAGCAAAATGAGTTGGAAACACAGGTCTATACTATAGTGGTATTTACTTTATTTCCGTTACTGCCAAAATAAAAGTTTGCTTCACTTTTATCCAACAAAGTACCCTTATTCTCAAAGTAAGCCTCACTGCTCCCATGGAATCTTTAAAAGCAGAAAAGCAAGTAGATCTAAAGAGAAATATATAATGATTTCATACTTGGATCCTAAAGACAGAGAACTAATTTTCCAACAGACTCAGCTTGTACTAAAACTTAGAACCTTCAATCTGCAAGTTAAAATTGACTGTGTAAGGTTTGTAAAAGTGAGATAAAGAAAGATGCTAGCCTCTTGCAAGAAAAAAAAAATTGTTTTTAAACAATAGGTCCTTCCATTTTCCAGGATCTGCAACACAAGTTCTGAAAATGCAGCCAACACCAGAGTGGCCCAGGAGGTGAGCACGGGGCTCTCAAGCCAGGTTTGCCAGAGTTCCAGTCACAGCCCCCAAACCATCAGGTGGGTGATGCTGGGCCAGTTTCCTACCTCCTCTAAAATCTGTTTCCTTATCTGTATCTGAGAAAAACAATAGTACTTATTTGATAGAGCACTGTGAAGACAGCCAAGCTTACACATGGAAAGGGCTTAGCCCAGAGTCAGGCACAAAGTAAACTCTCTATAAATCTTAGCTAATATTGTAGTCAAGCCTGAATAAGAACCTTAGGTTTCTTATAACCATAGTTAATCTTTAATTTCTTTTTTTTCCTAAAGCACACATTTTATTAAAAATAATGTGCTTAAGTTTCAAACTAATGTAAGACCAATTAACTCTAGCTTCCAATTATAGATTATGCATTATTTTAAAGCAGAGTATAGATTAGGCAGTAAACACTAAGAAAGTAGCTCCAACCCCTATATTAGATCCATTCCCAGGGATCGAAGGAAACCACACAAATCCATACAGAATTTCATCAGATCAGAAGAGTATCTCAATATCTACCTTTCATTCGTTTCTTTATGACTTTACAATTTTTTTTGAATGATTGTTTAGCTTCATAAATCTATTTCAGTTTCCTAAGGCCAAGCTGCTTGAATGAGTTGCTACCTTAAAACCTGCACTTGGCTGGCATAATAATGTGAAAGTTACTTTTGCATGGTACTGGTAGGCTACTTCTAAGGATTTCTGTCAGTAACCTTGGACTGACAGCCACAAAGCTGTTGACTATGAATTCCTCCTTTTCAAATTAAAACTAAAGTCAGGAGAAACAATGTATTAAAACAGAACTTGAGAAAATACTGTTGAATCCATAGGGCTGGAAATCACCTAACTCAAACCCCTCAGTTTACAAATGAGGCAAAAGATATCCAAAAAGATTAAAAGCTTGCCTAAGGACACACTCTGAGCCTGCAGCAGAACAGGATTTAGGCCTCAATTCTCAGATTCAATTCTCAGTGCTCTTTCCTTTATTTCATGCTGCCCTGAGGCATGAACGTGATGGGGCACTCAAAACTGAGGCCAGAGCAAAATGCATGGGAAATACAACTGCATTTTGTTAGGAGTGTATAAAGTCAAACCCGTCTGTTTTTAACGATCAGTTTTACTAACATTAATACAACTAAGAACACAAAAAAAGTAGAATTTTGTTCAGTTCTGGGTGCTGAACTTTAAAAAGGATACAGAAAAACTAAACATCACTTATAGGAAAGAAACGTAACCACTCTAAGCCGGGACTGCTAAGCCTGGAAAGAACTCTGGGTAACAAGGCTGCAGAGTTACCAGACAGAAGGAAGACCCGAAGGAACAGAACTAAAAGCAGGACCCCAGGACACAAACAGTTGGGATTAACAGGCAAAGACTTTTTAGTGGTAAAAATCGTGGAGCTGCTGGCATTTTCCATCATAGTCACAAAACATGGCCAAACAAGACAGGCATAAGGGGTTATCACAAACGGGTACACTAGGCCAAATGACCTTTAGGTCCCTTCTGGCCCTTAAGGCTTTGTGTTTATCTGGTCACTGCCTATCCTCCTTAAATTCCTGTTTATTTGACGTATTTGCCTGAATGCTGCAAAACCCTATATGCACGCACAGGTACACACAATAACCCCACTACAACAACCAAATTCTAGTTTTTTCCCTCAAACTAGGATGCAAAAAATGCATGTTTAAATCTTTTGAATGACATGGCTAAAGCCATGACATGGCTAAAGGTGTGCTTTGCTTTGAGGTGTAAGAGACATACTACTCTGCAATTAATTTCTGCAGCTTTTTCCTGAAATAAAGATGTCAAAATTCAGGGTTATAATTTTTTTTTTTAAGTCTGTTATTTTAGGTGTATTTTTAGTTGGTATCAAATGCATCAAGATCAAAGTCTACAGCTTTTTCTTCTAATTAGAAACTTAAAATTCCAGGTTATTATTTTTTAAATTAAGTTAAACTCAGGTTTAGTTTCTTCCTTTCAAATTGCCTGAGTGTTAGATATATATTTACAAATTGTCTCTTTTTAACTGTTCTACTTTACTATAACGAATATACTTATTTTAAGTTTCTATTTAAAAATTTTCAAACATGTAGAAAAGCCTACAAAATTACGTAAAATGTCCCCCACACACTCATCACTAGACTCAACAATGAGTAACAATTTGCCTTATTTGCTTCCTCTGTTTTTGGAGGGGTTTAAGGATTTAGGTAAGACACCTTGACATTTCACCACTAAACATTTTAGTAGGCATCTCTAGTAAAATTAGCAAATGTAGTGTATTATAATTAATTTAATTAATTCTTTAATGTCACCTAATACCTAGTCCATATTCAAAATTTGACAGATACGGTATTGTTTGGTTTGCTACATGGCTTTGAAATTTACAAATCAGAAACAAGGCTTTAAATTTTTTATGAGCTAGATATGCAGTGAAAAGCATTGCTAAGAGTTACTCAATACAGTTTTTACAAATTGTGTTAGACGTGGCTTTTGCTTCAAAACGTTTATAAAGCTTTTCCAACTTCCAGATAAGTGGAAAAAAATCATAACCTCTATGTGGTCTTGTTAGCATTTCGCCGTATTGTGTGCAGAAACAGATTTTGTAAGATCACCTGTAAGCAAAGTGAAGACGTAACACTTCAACCCTAAATACTTCAGAAATTTATGACATGCCATTTTTTTAAACACAACTAAAATATATAAATCTGTGTTTTCTTTTAAAATTTTAATTCAGGAAAACTATGTTTGTTAGACTGCAAAACCTATTTTTTAAACAGTATGAATTGACTATAAGGATATTTTAAATGATATGGCTGCTTTCAATGATCTGAGAAAGATTTTAAATGGTCAGACTAATACAAATATTAACATTTTCAATGGCATGACATTTAGAAAACATTTTTTAATGTTCTGACTTAGAAATATATTTTTAGTTGGGTTTAGAAATCATTTTCAAAAAACTGTGAGTTAGGTAAATATATCTGTATATACTCTGACATATCTATTTTTCCAAACTGTATACTTTAGCTATCCATTTTTAGTTATTTTGCTTAGCTTAAATATTTTTTTTAAATTGCCTAACTTAGAAAATAATTTTCTAAAGTGGTTTGATTCAGAGAAGGACTTTTAAAAAGCTTCCTGTCTCAGATACTAGGTTTTTAAACCGTCTGACTAAATGGGGGAAAAAAAAAAACAAAAAAAGAACCCTCATGTTACCCAAAGGTTCAGGGTATTTTGAACCTTAATGATTAAAAATTGAAAAATAAACAATATGTTTTTCAATCAATTAAAACTGATACCTTAGAAATCTTAATATCAGTTTCAGTTGTTTTTGAGGCAGCACAAAAATCAAGTCATTTAAGGAACATGTAGTTCTTATTTAACATTACTGAAGTACCATTAAGGAATTGTATTCATCCAATTGCTACTCAATTTCTTGGCTTATTTTTTTCTTCAAAATTAGCGCTAGAATTGGCCCGTTTCTATGCTACCAGACATCTTTACATTTATTTCAATATAATGTCATTCCTTTCAGTTTATAAATGTAAAACCCTTCAACTTCTTAATTGAAATCTCATACACACTGTCCCTGTTTCTAGGCTTTCTGACCTGAGTTTACATGCTTTTATTCCTGAAACCGCTCATATGGCTTAAAATCACTTTTCTATCAGTTATATGGCCAAAGACATTCTCCACTTGTGACTTACAAAAAGGAGAAACTGTCTTTGTAGACATGATAATCATGACATATGGCAAAATTTTTCTGAAACATTTAGATAAAGTCACAAGAAAAAAATGAACTGGCAATACAGTCCCTAGGAGGTGAAATAAATGCGGGGTTTCCAAAATTGCCTATCAAGTATAATCCCCAAGAATGTGGTCCTGGGATGGCTATTCCCCGCCTGTTTCAACGCTGCTTCTATTCCAACCTAGCCTCCCTACAGCAGGTAGCCTGAACTACAGCCAGTTTCGTAACTTCACTTTTCAATTGAAGACATTACCGAGCTGACGATCACTGTCTGGTATAGATCATCCAGACTCGCCCCTTATTTAACAGAGCAGTAAACTGAGGCTCAGAAAGGGAAAAGTAGCCCCCATTAAAAACAAACCAGAAACAGTAATTTTTCCAGGACCACCCTTAAAAAACACTACTGCTAGGCTAACTAAAGGTTCTGGCTAATTTAAAAAAAAAAAAAAAATGCTATTTTAGAGGGTTAATTTTCACATATACCTCCTCAGGCTTTTTTAAAAAGTTCGAATGGAGGGGAAAGCGTAATTTCCCGTCTGGGAAATGGAAAGTGAAGAGGCTAGCACCTCGAGTCTTAGAAACCCAAGCCCCCAGGAAGAACAGTGAAACAATTATTCATAGGGAACAAGGCCACACAAGGGCTGCGGGACCGTTAAAACGGGCAGAAAAACAAAACAAAACAAAACAACAACACAACTGCTTCCTCTTTAGGAGAGGGAGTCGTTCATTTGCAAGGATTTGGGTCCATGGTCCCGCGACCCAGCCATTAGGACCGAACTGAGGCTCACTATTGGGGGGAGGGGAGCTTCAAACAAAACGAAACAAAAAGGCTTCAGAAAGGCCCAATGCTTCCCAATGTTAGCGTTAAAACATATGTAAATTACAGGCGGCCTGTAGCGCAGTGACGCCAAGGCGGGGGATGCGCGGGGGGGTGCTGCGGAAGTGAGGAGAAGACAAGGCAGAGGTGGAGCTGCGGCCTCACAGCACCGCTTTTTCCCCATCCAGGGTTACAGACGCCCCCTGACTCTAGCCAAGACATCTTATTATTCTTAGTCTTATTATTCTTATCTTCTTTTTTTAAACAGAGAGACAGACAGAGACAGACAAACAGGCAGAGCCGCAGTGCACACGGTCCGTGTGTCGGAGAGGCCGCCGGGAGACTCACCGCAGCAATGCTACGTGAATGCAGAGGGCTGGAGGTGGTGTGACTACTCACTTGCTCGGCTAACAGCTGCCGGTTTTGGATGGAATTATTCCGCAACAACAAGAAAGCGTCGGTTAAACGCCTGGTGGCCATGTCTCACCCTTTGTGACCCCCCTCTCAGGGGCCCCCCGCCCACTTATATTCCTGATTTATTCACTTTCTTTCTCTTGACCCGGCCGGCCCACCCTTTCACAGAAGCTTCTCGACAAGGCCTCAGGCCTCAAGCCAAAAAGACGCAGCTGTGCCCTTCGCCAAAGCGTAGAGACCCCTCCCCAAATAACTACCTAGGCTTTCCAATTGTCTGACTCCCCCTACCCAGGACCGACTTCGATCTCTAAGCACTTGAATCCCCCCAATCCTTGCGTAGCGATCCAACGTTCCAGAGACCCCACCCCAATCCAACCTTGGATCTACAAGCGTCTAACTCGCCAATCCAGCTCTGGACTGGGAGGCCCTGAAGCCCCCTACTCCCTGAGACCCCCAAAGGTCTTTGCTCTCTACCCCTAACTTGGCTCGTAAGCGTCTAGGCCGTGCCCTGAGGTCTGGCTGTGACTCAGTTTCCCCACCAGAGGCCTGGCCTAGGCCCTCTTTGGACAACCGGAGCCAGGCCTGGGGCCTGGACTCCAGGGCGCCTGCAGCTCCCTTCTGGGGCCTTGTCTGAGCCTGCTGAGGCCCTGCCCGACCTCCTGACCCCTTCCTTTCCTGGGTGGCCTGGTCCTCCACTGCCAGCAGGCTGCTGGCCTGCAGGAGGACAGCAGGGCCTGCCTCCCCGGCCTTCTCACTCCTCTTCTCCGGCTCCCTCCATCCCCGGATCTGACTGCAGCTCAGCCCCGGGCCGTTTCCGTGCTGTGGTCCCGGGTTCTGGCGTCCCCCCTGGCCCTCTTCCTGTCCGTCCCTCGCGAGTGCCCCCCTGCGACTCTCGCAAGCCTTGCTTGCAACGTTCCGGGCGCGGGAGCTCCCTGCACTCCTGCCCCGGGGCACGAGAGTGCTCCGCCCTCTCCCGGGGTGCTCCTGGGGCGCCCCGTTTCGTGTTCCCCAACTGGGTCTAGGCACTAGGAGCAGGCCAGCGAGCAGGCCCGAGCCTGGGGAGCGTGACCCCCAGGCTGCAAACCGCTGCCAGGGCCCTTGGTCCCTGCATTAGAGTGGAAGTTGCGCGGCAGGCAAATTTGGGCTCCCCGAGAGCCGAAGTTTTGGGCGCGGGGAGTTGGAGCGGGAGAGGAAAAGTTGGAGACGACTGCCTCTGCAGGCCGAGCACGCTCTACTGCAGGCGCCGGCGCTCGCTTTTTTTTTTTTTTTTTTTTTTTTTGAGACAGAGTAAAGATGTACCCGACAAACAACCAGGAGGAAAAAAAAGGAAAAAAAAAAAAAAAAGCGAGAGCTCCAGGCAGTCTGGCCGCGCAGCCGCCGGCAGTCGGGGGTCGTTGGGGGCGCCCGCCCTCCCCAGCTGCCGCTTTCTGTAGGTGGCACTACAGGGTCGTGGAATCTCAAGTGGAAAAGTTCCCCGAAAACTTTGACACCTCCTGCCCCCGTCCCCGCGAAAAATATCTCTGTTCCCCGCCTGGGCCCTGGCCCGGAGCCCCCCGCGCCCCTGGCGTCCCGGGCCCGGTTTCTCGCCATTGGCCAGGCCCGGGGCGTCCTAAGCACCCCGGCTTGCCGCCCCTGGGCCAGGTCGGCGGGGTTCGTGCAGGGGCTCCTCGGGGCCGCGTCGGGCAGCAGCCGCCGGGGCCCGAGCACGGCGCCCAGAAACAGGCGGGCGCCCAGTGACGGAGACCCTGGTCCGGCCCGGAGCCGCCCGGGAGGCCTGAGGCCAAGGGCCTGGCCCAGCGCTCGGCGGGAGCGGGTCGAGGGCGCAGAGCTGTGCTGCTGCGCCTTCCGGGCCCCCGGTCTGTCTAGGGCCGGCTTCCCCTTGCCGGGCGAGGGTGCGGGCCGGACTCCGGAGTGGGGTTCCAACAAAACACCTAGGCCCCAGAAGCGGCCCCCACGCGTCCTTTGTTTCTGCGTGGAACAAACTTTACACACGTGTGTTTTCCGAGGGTTTCCCGTGTGCTGAGCGCTTGCAAAGCGGAGTCGCGCCCGGGGAGACACGAAGCCGGTGCCCGCGGCTCACCCAGGGACCCCGGCCGGAGAGCGGCACCCGCGGGGCGCGTGCGGGACCCCCAGACGACCGGGGGAAACGCCGGTAACTGCCCCCCGCCGTGCTTTTTCTCTCACGGAGAACGTTCCCGCGCGTTCGTTGTGGAACTAAAAATTAATGTCAGACATATCCATTGAGGCAAATAACAAAATGCATACAACGAAACCCACATAAAATCGAGAGAGCCGCGAGCGGGGCTGGGCGAGTTCACTGTGAGAACCCGCCAGCTTCCGCTCTGCGCGGAGAGCAGGGCACTCGCCCGGGGACGCTTCGCTGCGGTGGAAGATTCGGGCGACAGGGGACCGGGTCGCCTCGCGGGCCGGGTTGGGGGCTGCAGGGGCGCGCTGACAGGCCATCCAAAGACAGAGGCCCTGGGGAGGGAAATTCGGGGAGCCTGTGTGCTTAGCGCGGTGCCCCAGGAAATATTTGCCCAATAAGGGAGAGTTCTGTCCTCACCCGCGGCAGATCCCCCCGCGAGCTCTGACCCCAGCAGCACGGCCAAGCCTCCCCCCTCGCCCCTTTAGGGGACAGTTATTTGTAAATAACAACTGAGCTGGTTGTCGCTAGGAGAATCAGAAACATGGTCCCCACTCTGTTCCTATCTCCCCAGCACTCATCACCTCGCAAAGCAGGGGGTCTTGTTTACTTTTCCTGGCGTTCTCCCCCAGGCTAGAACGTGATCTTCCTACGCAGGGACCGTGTTTTATTCATCTTTGTACCCACTGCCGTCTCATCTGGCTTGGAACAGGCTCCGGATAAATATTTTTAAAATATGTGCATGAATGAATGAGAGACCTGAGATTTAGTCCCCAAACTCTCTGACCTCCCTCGAGTGACTTTAAGCCTTTAGAGCCCTTATCTGTTAAGAAAGAAAGAAAAAAATGTGGGTTTTTCGTAATCCTCGTAATCCGTGCCCTGTCTACTTCTCTGGGGTTATTGTGAAGATCAAATAAGATAAGTGAAAACTCTTTGTAAACTACCAGGTGCTGAGCAAATATTGTATAGGATGGTAATTCATTCATTCCCTCCGTTCAGGAAGCTTAACAGAATAATTCCTGGTCTTGTGTTTAAGCAGATGGTGGTCGCCTTTCCTGGTCAGTCTTAAATATTTATTACAGGACAATCTCATTCTTACATTTAGGAAATCAATCAAGCTTCCATTTCTTTGAGCGAAATGAACACTGCATGCACACATAAATAACGGAAGAAAAACCCTCGTATTCCCAAAACAGCCACCCGAAGCAACTCAAGAGCCCAACAGCAGGGAGGTCATGAAAGTCCAAGAAATTGGCATAACAGCCCAAAGGTAGCACCGTGCAGCTCTAACCAGGCTGTGTTTAGGTATGGGATTGTGTGCCTGAAATAGTGTTAATGAAGAGGAAACCCAGAGAGGACATGCACTCCTGGCTCCAGTCACGTCCATGGTCCGTGTTCGCCCTGACCCACACTGGAAGGGAGTTGGGGAAGGATGTAAATCATTATGTTTGAATGTTCGTTGGCTGTTTTATTTTCCTGTCAAGTAACTTAAGCTTGATTTTTTGTTTTTGTTTTTTTTTAAAGCATTCCCCGATGGCCAAGTATGTGTTTCCTTGGAATTGAAATCTAGGTTGATGGTTTTACATTTTAAAAGCTTTCACTGTGAGTCATTCTTGGCCTGGGCTCGGATTCCGTCATACTCCTTGGGCTTGGTGAGGCTCAGCGTCCTGTTTCTTGGGCTTCGTACCCACTTTCTAACATTCTGCCAACGAATCCAATAAGTCACTTTTGGGGACAAGTGTTTCATTGTTGTCATCTCATTCAGTACAGGAGGGAACCCCAGTGAAGCCAGGCCATGACTTGGGCAGGAGCAGGTTTTCAAGTACTGAGAGGGGATGGTTAGCACAACAGGTCAGCAGTGGGACACACACCTTTGGTGAAAACAATTTAAATGAGATAGGATTTGTGAAGCCCTTATACAACCTCAGCATAGAGTAAGTGCTCCACAAATGGGCAATGTGATTTATCACAACAGTAGTCTTGCTGTTGGAAAGCTCACGTGGGCTCTGCTCTCCCTGGAAGGCATCGTAAACTCCAAAGAGAATGGCATGATATTGAGAACTGAACACTTGGAAATCTAAGCACATTTCTGAGCTTCTTGTTCTGGACCTTGGGAATCCAGATGTGTCTGTGGTGCACGCTCATGTGGAAGAGGGGGCTAAACAGTCTCAAAGACACCTTTTAACATTGGCCTTTCTCCCACCTATAGAAAGACAGATGATTGTTTGTTTATCAAGCAGCAAAAGCCCCCAAGCCTAACACATGTCTTGTCTGCACAGATCTAACAGACAGATACGGGCCAGGTTCAGGTAACAGGAGTTGTGTGTTCTACATCTCCAAACAGTTCCTCAAAACCTTGAGTATTTCCAACAGAAAACTCCCTACCTGGGTCTGTCTTCAGCTATGATGCCTCTCCCAAGAAGGGAGACTCCGGAGAGAGGCAACAGTTTTGTTTTGTCTGGAGTCCCGTAGCTTTTAGTACCAGACAATTCAATACAGTAGGCATTTCTAAAAATCTACTAGTGGCTGTGCCTAGCTCTTGCTGGGCACTGCTAAAAGAATGAAACAGAGCAAAACTTTTGCTTTCAGGGAATTTGTATCTCCACTGTCTCTGCCCAAATTCTGGCTCTCATCTTGTACATTTTTCCAGCAGCCTACTAGCAGCCACCCGTCTCTTCCCTCCTCATCCTGCAGCCACAGTGACCTTTCCAAAGCACAAATCTGATCATGTCACTGCCTGATTGAGGCCCTGAAACAGCTCCCTCTGGCCTATGCCAGTCAATCCAAATGACACTCAGCAGAAAACAGGTGCTGTCTAAGTTGAACCAAGCTGGGCATCACTAATATTAACTAATGATGGTGTTTACTTGGTTGTCAGGGGAAAAAAAAAAAAAGAAGCAGCAGCTAATTAATAGAATAGTCTCCATCTTAAGTGTTTCTCTTCTCACTTTCTCTTAAACCTTCAGTTCCTGCTACCACTTGGCTGTATTAGAATATAGTATAAGACTAGATCTGACTTATTCCAGAATCATGGATTTCATTACAATTTTTTTCCCCATATATCAGTATTTTCTGGAGTTCTGCATTTAGGTTTTCTATGCTCTCCACATGGTGGAGTGCCCCTGGGTATTCAAAGCCCTGCCCAACAGGCCCCACCCAAATGGTGAGCTTTTTTCTTTCCAGGACTTGGCTCACAGACCTTTCTCTGCCTGGTGGGGGTAGTGGCGGGGGATGTGTCTTGCCCCTTGTGCTTGGTAAACCCTTCCTTCAAGACTTAGCGCCTCCCCACTGTCAGGTGTGATAAATGTTTGCGGAATGGATGAATGGATGGCTTGATGCACAAAAGGTGAGATTAAATATATTAAGTGCTAGAGAATACCAGATGGTCAAGACTCAAAATGGGTGGAGAGATTAGGGCAGTTCCCTGTCCCCCTCACTCACCCCTTTTCAGCCACACTAGCCTTCTCACTATTCCTCACTCCTCCTTAGCACCTGCTCTGCTCTCCTTCCTGGCTTCTTCAAATAACTGGCGCCTTCCCACCACTCTTGTCTCGGACCACTCAATAGAAAGTAATCCTCCTACCCTGTCCACGGTGTGGGGAGAGGACTCTCCTCTCCCAGGGCCCCTATGTCACCATCATACCAGGTGCCTACCCATGCTTGGTCAAGTTCAAGACTGAAACAATGTCTAACATCGTGGCTTTTGGTCTTTGAGGCCAAGAAGAGGCCTCTTGGGTCACAACACATGCCAGCAAAGCATATCTGCATTTTACTTCTTTTTTGTCCAGGATGATGTTGACACATGTGTACTCAAATAAATCAACCCTCCCATCTTAACCATCTCCCTTGGCAGGAATAATAAGTTAATGTGCCAAACCAGGACTGACCT